AAAACTGTTGGCTGGCGCAGTGTAGGTCAGACTCATCTACAGTCCTGCCAAATTTCATGTTGACCGGTGCAGCCGTTTTTGTGCTACGGTTGACCAAAAATCACTGAGAAAATAAATAAATAAATAAATAAACAGTATGAAAACAATATGACTCCCACTTACGCTTCGCGTGTGGGGRTCATAATAACAYCAGATTATTTTGCAACATGCCATGTGCTGATGTTCATCTTCAGTTTAATACTCTGTAAAGACCTGGTGCTGTATTTTTTTGTTATTTAAAAGTAAATATGTAACACAAAGCACAAACACAAAAAATATATAAATACTACGAATAGTGTAGCTTTATACACCCAGACCACTCACTGTGCCTTTGATCAAATTCAAACCTTTGCCTGTTCCTCATAAATATATATAGCTTGACTTCATGTTATGATCAAATCTCTGTGCCATGGCTGTGATCTGCTGTCTAGTAACACTAGTACTTGCATCTGTCTACCATGTGTTCCTGAAGTGAGCCTGCAGTCGAGGGACCGGATAGGCACAGGAGGTCCTGTGGTGGACTGCAGTCGGCTGTTTGACAATGATCTTCCAGATGGGTGAGCTAGACAAAATCTCTGCATTTTTTCATATTTTATCAGCTGCTGCAAATCATAAACAACACATGCTGTCTTTGAGTACAAGGAAGGAGATAATAATACAGAAAGTGAATCAGAATAGGACTTTAGCATGTGGTGAAATAGAGCAGCGAGTCGGCTTAGCTCACCGCTGTGTCTGTGTGTGTTTCTGCTGCCAGCTGGGAGGAGAGGAGAACTGCGTCTGGACGGATCCAGTACTTGAACCACATCACACGCACCACACAGTGGGAGAGGCCGACCAGGTGAGCGCACTCTGCTCCCCACGGAAACTTAAACCCAGACCTCTTTCATCAAACAGCACGGGGTCCATGGAAGTCCTCATCTCTGACCTCAGCGCTCTTAAACTGGAAAGCCCTGGTGAACATTGAAGTGGGTTCCCAAAAAGAAAGGTGTCAGACAGATTGCTCCAGACAGTGAGGTTCAATGATGTGGGAGAGCCAAGGAAATCATGAAGCTGACATGAAGGGATGCAGAGGCATCTGGCTTTAATATTCATTTCTTCTTCTGCCTGTCCTGAGAAACATTTTAGAGCATGTTGTGCCTTCTATTCCCCAAGTTTAGCCTTCTTTAATTCAGTTGTTTTTTACTTTTTGAAAAAATATCAGATTTGTCTTCATTCCTCTTCCAGTTTCTTTACAGTGATTAATTGATATACTGATTGGATGGATGGATGGATGGATGGATGGATGGATGGATGGATGGATGGATGGATGAACAAACAGATAGAATATTCCTTACATTACCCGTCTCTCTCTCTCAGGCCTGCATCAGAGTACTCCAGCCCCGGCCGGCCACTCAGCTGCATCGTAGATGAAAACACGCCCATTAGCACGAACGGCGCCACGCCCACCACAGCACTACCATCCGGTGATGGCGACCAGCGGGCACAGGAGAGACGGGTGCGATCACAGAGGCACCGCAACTATATGAGCAGAACCCATCTGCACATGCACCCAGACCTTCCTGAGGGATACGGTCAGTAGGGCACCAACACCACAGCAAAGACACACACTGTAGTTATGGAGACACACACACATAATGCACTATAAATCATAAAACATTACATCTATTGAAAATAATGACGTGAACTGAAAATACAGCGAAACAAATACAAAGCTTTTTATAATTGCCAAACAGAATACTGTATCTTGATATTTTCTTGGATATTTTTTAAAATTCTAGACACATTGATGTGTTGATGGATTAAAACATGTTTCAATAAACTTCTTTTTTCATGGAGATTAGACAAGTTGATGAAGTACTTGTATTCATCAGCTGACTGCAGTTTTTTATTTTATTACAGATAAACACACTTAGTGGAAAAATATAACCCCTTAATAGAGTGACAGAAATAAAACTGTACRCATTAAACCATCATGACTAATGCACTGAGCACAATATCTCATCAAGTGAATAACTGAGTTGGCAGTATGAGCACATTGCTGGTCCCATGCAAGTAGAGTGTACCACATCCTCAGGCCTGGATGCAAAGCGTGTTGAACAAAGGTAGAGTAATAAAATGTCTCGAGGGCTCGTTGCAGTATTTATTGTCATGAGTAGGAATTTGCGATATAAACGATRTACGGTAGAAACAATATAAATTTGTCCTATGATAGAGATCTGTAGTCTACCGGCCAACCGCGCAATTCTTTTTGATGACTTAACCGGCTGGAGTCAAAACAGAGGAAGCAGGAAGCAGCGTGGCTGAGAGCGCAAATGAAGAGGGGGGAGAAAAACTTATCCGGACCTGGTTCAGGTGTGTGAAAATGAACACCGAACTGTTTACATATTTACGTGAGGGCGCGTCCTCCGGTCGGATGCCAACCGACCACACTGCCTGCAGCTGGAGGAGCGTGCGCCATGGCATGTGTGAAGGGCTCGACACGGGAGGCGACGTCGCTCGCTCTCCATTCATTTCCACGCAGCGAGGCGACTGTCAGTGCAGGTGAAGTCAGTGCTCAGGTGGGACGCACAAAAATCAGTCTGGACCTCGTTTCTCCTGCGGTCATAGCGCGACGACCCACGGCCGCACTCCCAAGCGCGACTAATGATTGTCACCCCACCGGAGCGTGCACAGATTAAACAGGTGGAGAGCAGAAAAAATAATCTGCAAAGTGTGTAGAAAGGAAAAAACCAGTGGTTATTCCGTATGTTGCGGGTGTTTTGGAGAAATCGAGACGTTTATTTTCTAAACATGAGGTCCCAGTGGCTTTCAAACCCCAAAACACATTACGGCAAAGGCTGGTTCACCCCAAAGATCCGGTGCCCCGGCACAAACAGAGCAATGTTGTATATGCTGTTAAGTGCCAGGAGGACTGCGACCAGTTATACATCGGGGAAACAAAGCAGCCACTGTTCAAAAGAATGTCCCAACACAGACGAGCTACATCTAATGGCCAGAACTCTGCAGTTTTCACTCATTTACAGGCCAGCGGTCACTCTTTCAGAGATGAGGATGTTCTCATTCTTGATAGAGAGGAACGTTGGTTTGAGAGAGGAGTAAAAGAAGCCATTTTTGTGAAGAAAGACCATCCATCATTAAACAGAGGTGGGGGCCTCCGTTTTCAGTTGTCCCCCTCCTACAGCGCGGCTATTGCCAGTATCACTCCACCCCCTGTTAACAATAAGTGTTAATTAGATGTCAACGATAGCCATGTGATGTGAGTATCAGTCACATGGAGGCAGTGCTTAAAAGCCTGAATTTTGCCTGAAACTCTCAGACTGAAGAAGTCTCTTGGAGGAGAGACGAAACGTTTCAGTAAAGAAGAACCCGTCCAGAAGACCTATACAATTTTTTTTCTTTTTGATATTTTACCTGGATTACTGAAATGCATCAGGACATGTGTAGAAAGGAATAAATACAAGCAATTTGTTTTACCACCTTAAAACGAAGCTGGTGATTCCAAACACAACACCCAATGGATGCAGATATCTATTACATTAAAGTTATTCTGTGTGTGAGATATATGATTTAACCAGGTAGATCTCCCTTAAATTTAGATTTTTATGGGAGACTTTAAAGTGTCCCTTAAAAAGGAGATTTTAAGGTCTAAATTTTTTTTACCTATACATATTTATTCCACCCAATTAATGTGTGTTTTATTTATTTTCTATTTTAAGTTTAAACCGTAATATATATCGTTACCGCCACTCATCATAATGTCTATTGTGATATGAATTTTTTGCCATATCACACATTCCTAGTCATGAGGTTTTGGACTTTTGCCTCTTATGACTGTCTTGATATAGTTCATGAGGCTGAATCCAAGCTCTGCTGCCACACACACCTCTTTTATTATCGCCATCGTCATCAGTAGGCTGCTTGAAGAAACTTTGGGCACTCGGCTGCTGTGACTTTTTTCCCCCTCACCCCTACCTGCCTGTTTGATGTTGTTCTGTCTTCATGATGGTGATGCTCCAGCTCCACACAGGCAGCCTGAAAAATTGGCTGCATTTTAAAACCGTCTAATTGAACCAATGTAGCAGCTACAGTCTGGCGGCGGCCATTCACACCCCTCTCCCCTGTTCATTTTCAAACAATCAGAAGCATTCATGAAAAAGCTAACACAAACCCTCCACATATCCTGAGGGAGTTTTGTTTATCTTCACAGTAATTGGTCTGTGGGATTTAAAAGCCAGAGCCAAAGAACTGAATTGCAGCTTCATGCACTCAGATAAGGAGGGTTTTTGTACTTGTCTCTCTATCTCTTATACTATCCTATCCTCCTGCTCACTTTTAGGTCTTACAACATTAGACTCAATGCTCCTGCCTTTCTGTATTTTGAAGAATTCAGACTTGAAGTCTTACACTTGTGTGACTTTGATTTAGCAACATTATTCAAAAGCAGCACCTTGAAACAATTCACTGACTAATTTGAATAACCATTACAAAATACTCCTGGCAAAGATTTTGGACGCACTGCTTTGTTTAATTTACGACTGTGTACTGCTCCATGGCTACCATGTTTCACAGGGACCAGTATTACTTTTACACAACATGCTTACTTTACGTACGTTGGAGGGAAAAAACTGAGACGACACCAAAAATTTAAGACGTCCATGACATGTCAAACAAAAGGAACTCTAAAACACTCTAAAGCAGGGGCGTCAAACTCATTTTCACTGAGGGTCACATGAGCGTTATGGTGGCCCTCGAAGGGCCAGTTGTAGTTAACTTTGACGTTTCATGTTTAACTTTGACTAAACTGTGTTTTAACACGTCCTCTTTTAAACTCTGATAAGAACTAACTGTATGACTGACTAAATCTGAAATAAATATAGAATATTATTAAAAGTAAAACTAATAAAGTTTTACTCACTGATGAGTTTCTAGTGAGTAGCTAATATGCATTATGGCAGATTTAGTTTATGGTTGATGCTGACTCCAAAGCAGCTTATTTTCAGACATTATTACTGTGTTATCCAACTAAACTGCTCTTAAAGCCAACAGCTCAGGGGCAGGACAGTTGTTATTGTCTTTCATCTTTTAAATTTATTTTGTTGCATTTAATCAGAAATTTGAAGTTTACCATTGATATAAGAAACAATTTTCATGTTAAGTATAAATAAATAAATAAATAAATAAATAAATAAATAAATTTTTCTGGGGGGTGGGCTACCCCCCTGGCGGGCCACACGGGATTGACCCGGGCCTTGAGTTTGACACATGTGCTCTAAAGTAAAGCAGAATTAGCACCCCACAGCAGCAGGACATCAAAAACAACTTTATACAAACAGTGGACGGATGTGTTTCTGATTAAAAGAGTTCTCTGTGGACACATTCAGTCTTTATAGTCAGACTAACAAGATGCARCTTTCTGAGTCATCGTGTACTAACCGATGTAAAGAGATGGAAAAATCCAAAACGTAATGTGCACAGTAGTGTAAGAAAATTCGTATTCAATAAACTGAAGTCGAAATTATAAACACAATTGTTAAATGAAATGATTTGTAGAAGGAATTAAACCATACAACACCAGAACTCTGGATCTGAGTGAGGTTTATTGAAGCAGACAGGAAATCAACACTGCCGAAAAACCAGGAAGTCCATCTATTTATTCAGGTTCTTCAATGCCTTCGCTTGCCCCCTGCTGACCTATGGCTGAGTTACAGGCATTCAGACAAAATTCTCAGCTAATGTTATTCCAACGTTTAATTATGTGTTGTAACAGATATTTCGGACATGTAACTAATCTATTATGTTTTGATGGAAAAAGGTAAAAACACTGTCAACATTACAACAAGGAGAACTTAAGAGTATAGTGTTATGCTTTTAACATCAGTCCTAATCTTCCTAACTTTAAATTTCTTCAGTAAATCAAGTAGCTCTGTGTGTCTTTATGGAGGGATTCTATTGGGTCGGTGCGGGGGGTTAAGCGTCATCTTGATAACTTTCGCATGAAAAGGAATCACAAATAGTCAAGCTTCTGCATTTCCAGCATAGAGCCTAAAATCTCCCAACTATGATCAGGAACTCATCTGCCTTCAAACAGATGGGGCGACTGTGGATCAATGGTTAGAGCAGTCGTTCTCTGAGAGAGTCAGAGGTTCAATTCCACCAGTTTGCTGTCACGTGTCAAAGTGTCGAATTATCCCTGAGCAATACACTGAACCCCTCTTTGCCTCCATTGGTGTATGAATACGATCTAAAGCACCAATATAATGACTTGTTCAGATTGTAGAGGTAGCAGAGTACTGTATAAACGTGTGGATGGTCCTGGTTGGCTAGAGAGGTGAAAATAAGAGTACAGTCCACTTACTAGTTATCAGTTTGTATCATGCAGATAGTGTCAGATATATTTCCAGGACAATACAGTAAAACGTGTTGGATTGTCAAAAAATCCTGTAACAGACCGTTAAAATCTATCATCTCATCCCCAAACAGCTGTATCTGAGATTCAGGTGGCTGTTTTCCTTTTTATGGGTAGAAATTTTTTTGGGAAAGGTTGTGAAATAAATAAATAGCTGAACTGATCTTACATGAGATCACGTGATTCTGGCAGTGGAAAGGGTCAGAGCTGTTTTTATTGTAAAAGCAAATCATTAAAGTTTTTGATACAGTACTTGAATAAAACATGATTGCTGCAGCCATGATGTTATTCAGTCATTGTCGTAAAAAGTAATGTAACAACAAAATCAGACAGAAACTATTTCTTTGCTCTTAGAACAAAATAAGAAAAAAGTAATTGGACCCTAAAGGTGCTTCCTGTGTCATGCACTGATGCCAAACAGAACATAAGGTTATGAATATAACCACGGTTCCTTGAAGGAATGGACGAAGTACAACACACAACTGTATATGGGACATGCGCACCCTCGCGCGCCTGGCTGAAGCCGCCTCTAAACACGTCTTTAGACCGGTGATGTGGTGACGTTGAACGTCAGGTGACAGGCTCGGCCTTCACCCTATAAGTTTGGAGTCACCAGCGTCATTACTCAGTTAGATACCTCCCTTCACTGAGCCTTTTGTGATGCAGGGCCAACAAGGTGTTGTACTTTGTTCCATTCCTTCAAGGAACTGTGGTTATATTCATAACCTTACGTTCCTTTTCAGTCATTTCAGTCAGTACAACACACAGTTATATATGGGACTTGTCAAAGCGCCCCGCAGAGCAGTATCAGACCTGAGTTAAGTAGTGTGCCTGAGTAAGTACTGTACTAATGCAGAGCTTTGGGCCCGGCAGAAAGTACAGAATGAGCCACCGAAGGTGCTGTCATATCCAGGCTGTAAAATCGTCCAAATGTGTTTGGTGAGGCCCAGCTGGCCGTGGCACAAATGTCACTCACAGGTACCCCTTTAAAAAGGGCCCAAGATGTCGCTACACMCCTGGTGGAGTGAGCTTTAACTCTAAGAGGGATTGGAAGGTTTTTGCTGCTATATGCTAGCTAGATGGCCTCTACAATCC